CAATGACTGTGCTGAATTTGGTGTTGCCCTCATACATATAGAATTATAACTTTACTACTGAGAACTGATATTAATGTATTTTCTATGTGTAAATTTATTAGTAGGTATCATAAAATATACCTAGTATCTAGTCCGACCATAGAAGTTAAAAATTCATGATTTTGGCATTATTTGTCCTTGAATGCAAATTTCCACGTACACTAAAGTTATATATATCTAGATTCTACAAATAAATAACTTTCTAGATTTGATAAACAAATTATCATAGGATCAAAGACTGATCTCTAAAAATATATCCAAATTTGTCCAAATTGAAGATGTAGAACCCAATTTACTTCGATATTCTAGAACTTCGTGACCCTTGGGGACCCTTAAATATTATTTAAATGATCTAAAAAAAATTAGGTGTTATAATGGAACTATAAAGAAACTTTTAGGAGAGACTGCATCAGCAATTAGAAAAAAATTTTCATGAGTGTTTTGGGACACCCTACCCCTATAATATTTTTAAGTTTCGTTACGTAACAAAACCAGGTTACAATACTTGTGTTAATCATACTGACGAGACGTAACATTTTTACGTAACGAGACGTAATGTTATAAAGTTGTTATGTAACATGTTTACATAATGCGACGTAACATTTTTATGTATCATTACGAATCAAATGTCTGTTATTTTTATGTAACAAAAAGTAACATTTTTAACCTTACAAGACGTAACATTGAAACGTGTGGTTTCTTATTGTCTTGTTTTAAATATATATATATATATATATATATATATATATATATATATATATATATATATATATATATATATATATATATATATATATATATATATATATAATCATATATAAGTATATGAAAATGTAAATAAGTATATGTAAATATATATAAAAAAAAAAATCTTCAAAGTAGAGTGTAAATAGTAAATAGATAAAACAGTAGCAAAAAAACACTAGTTAAACATTACAAATAATACAAATAACAAGTTATAAACACAATAGTTAATTTAACTAATTTAAAACATTATTTATACTATCAGATAAGTTGTGGAGTACACATAATATTGGTTTAAATTTTACATATATTTTTGCTTGTGGGTTTATTAAAACTATAAAAGCGCAAAAATATATTTTCGTGACACCTATTGAAACTGAACATTTAACATTTTTTATGCAAAAAGAAAATTTTGAAAACAATTTCAATTTTTTTTTGAAACCGGAGTAATTTTTTTAACTTAACCGAACTATACTATTTAAAGAATTAAAATATTACTTAATTACTAGTTAAAATATAAATTAATTTAATATTTAATTCTTTAAAAGAAAGTTCAGGTGAGATAAAAAATTCTTCTGAGTAAGTTAAAAAATTTAACCTTTCGTATGTTTCATACTTATGTAATTTAATGATATTATGACAAAAAAATGCGCAAATTAAAACCTAGGAATGTAAAGACCATAAAAAAGTAAGCATCACCCAGCTAAATGCCTAATTTTAAGTAGGCTTCCACACTTTTTCAAAAAAAATCTGATCAGCGGTCTACTTAAAATCATTAAGTATAACATATTTTATGATTTTCAGAAATTTTAACTTTTAAAAGTGTACTCTTGAGTCCTTAATACAAGGGAGAGGGGGAAGGTGTATAATAATTTTTTGAAAACTTTCCTACTGGCCCTAGGTTTATTAAGATCCCCCTTCCTCCGCCGCGTTTATTAAGTTTTACTTGCTATCATCAGAAAAATTAAATCTCAAGACTAAAAATGGAAAACTCTGTAAAAATCGGTCTTAAAAATTAGAGAATCATTACTTCAGTCATCGAAAAATCAAAGATTCAGTGTAAACAGGCTTTAAAAATTGTAGACAGTAATTTTCTCACCTAAGTATAAAACTTACATCAACATAATAAATCCTATTGAAATTATGAAAAAACAGCTGTTAGAAAATGCGGATTTGACCACAAGCAACCCCCACCTCATTAATTAGACCTGGACTAAAATTACCACCCACCCTTCTTTCATTCCCATCATTTGTATTAAGGACACGAGAGGAACCAATTGAGACATAACGTAAATACAACCAATTGAGATGTAACATAGCATAAAAAAGTTCTGCATTTAAGACGTATTTTAATTGCACCTTTTCTTTTATGTAACCCTACGTCTTAATTGGTTACACTTTTAGAAGTTAAAAAAAAAAGCCAATTGAGACATAACATTGCGAATTGATGTTTATAATTAAAATATGTTACAAATATAGATTTTATTTTACCAAGGAGGTATAATAGCTTAGTTGGAGGGAGAACGAAGCCTATAATAGATTTAAATCGCGTTACAGTCTTTGTAGTAAAATAATTCCAGTAGCAAGTCAAAATGACGCTTTTGCAAAATAATAAAAAATTTCGAAATGTAATCAGTAAGCTTTGAGAGTTGTAATCGAAATGGATTAATAAAGTTAAAGCTTGTTGGATTTTTAACAACTTGTTTTTTAACAACTT